CATTAAAACATCCGAACACATCCGAAGAAGTGAGGTTTTTACCCACGAAAGCTTATGCCCAAATAAATCTGTTAGTCTTTAAGGTGCCACCAGACTCCTTGTTGTTTTCATTAAAACATACTGATTTACAACTAAATATAATCTTTACAATAAATATGCTGCTTTTTGTTACCAGGAGGATACAAAATGGCTATATATATTTAAGCAAGCAATTATATAGCTTAAGATACATTTACTCAGATTCTTAAATTTGACATATTTATTAGATTAACTTTATACTTGCAATATGTGTCAAGGTCTACTTGGGTGGAAATTCAAATTCAGTTTAAAATGCACAAAACCGATACTCACTTTTTTATTAAATAAAACCACTTTAAATATACAGAAGAAAAAAACATTTATCAAAAAATGTTAACATGATTTGCATTTAAAACCAACTTATTAAAAAAAGGAAGTGTTATCTGTAGTTAATGAATTGAACTGATAGTTCTAAAATCTTGCAGGACATAGTGACTAGAAACAAACAGATATCCTCTCACACAGTTTTTATTTTTAGATTGGGAAAGGAAGACTAGCTTTCTGGGTTCAGTGTACATCTGGTTTCTTAATGCTGAACTAGTTGAATAAACTGAAATGAAGAAAATATTCTCTCTGCAGTGCACCTGCAGAAAAGGCAACCGCTACTTCAATAAGCACTGGTTCCGGGTACTTACCCAGCGACAAACCATTGAACTGGTGGAACTTTCTTTAAAAATTGGCAACAAACACATATTGCTTAGAATTATTTTTTGCTTTTAATTTAAATGATTGTAATAGATTATACTAAGTTAAGGCCTTAGCACAAGTTGACTATTTTAAATTGGTTTATTTTTAAAAAAATAAACCTGTATTTAAATTTAAAAAATCTGATTTTTTTTTTAAAGCACCAATTTTTATCCACCCTAAGCTAGACTAAGCATTCTAGAATTAACAGCTTCTTGGTGCTGCTGACCAATTAAATATATTCTTTGGAGACTGTCAATTGTATAAAAACAATGTTGCCAGATGTTCTGTACTTGATAATGCAACAAAAAAAAGTTAAAATATGAAATTTTAGTCACATGAAAGCCAGGAAAATAAAGTTTTAGCTCCCAAAGGATCATACATTGACCATATTTGTATGCAAACATAAATTATGAATCGTTGTTTATGGATCTGACCCTGCAGAGACTTAGACATGCTTTACCCAGTGGTATTAATAGTTAACTCTGTGAAAATCCACTATAAACGGTTTGATCAGTGACACTTACGCCTGAGGTGTATGAAGACCCATCTTGTTGGTATCCTGCACTCTCAGAGGCATCATGGATTGCCGACCACTGCTACCAGTGGTACTCGAGCTGCGCCGCATTGTGATTAAACTACAAGGCAAATTATGTTGGTATTAGAGGAAAGTCACAGTGTCAAGGAACATCATTCTTCTTGTAACATCACAGCCATTATGTGCAGGGGCTGGATTGAACTAGGGTGGGTTGGTATGTTGGACCAGCAATTATCTGATGGCCCTAGCATTCCTGAAGAAATTGAAGTTTTGTTTAAGAAAAAAATAGTTAGTCATTATAGTTGCAAAGTAAACCTCCCAAATGTATACTGCCTGAGCCTGCAGATAGACACCAAAACAAGAGCTTTATCAAAGGGATGACCTGTCTCATTCACCTTTGTGATGCGCTAACTCTGAAGGCCAATGATAACAGCATTAAACATTTAAAAGAACTATTTCACCACTGCTGAATGTAGTGTTAGTTCCAGGATATTAGAGAGACAAGGTGGGTGAGGTAATATCTTTTATTAGACCAACTTCTGCTGGTGAAAAAGAAGTTTTTGAGCTACCCAGAGCTCTTCTACAGGTAAGGGAAAAATAATCTGAGTGTCACAGCAGAATATAAAGAGGAATAGATTCTTTAGCATAAGAAGTTAATACATGTTGCAAGAGACCATTTAAAATGAAGTGAACTGTTAACACTTCTGCAGCCATAAGTCAAAAGAGGGTTACTGGGTTACAGAATGTTGTAATGAAACATAAAACCAGTGTCTAATGAATCTATGATTTTTTTGGTATCTAGCAGAGTAATGAATTTAAGCTCCCAAGTTCATCTTTTCAAGGTGTCCTCTGAGGATGAAGACTGAGAGGTCAGATACGGATTGACTGCTTTGTGAAAAGTGTTCACCTATGGGTGACAGGGTATTTTTGTGTTATTTTTTCTGTGAGAGTTCATTTGAGAGTGTAGTGATTGCCTGGTTCACCCACATAGTTGTTGTTGAGGCATTTGATGCACTGGATGAAGTACACAGCATATTGTGCTAGGCATCTGTAGGACATATGGATCTTGAAAGATGAGTTACGGGTGGGAATGTGATTGATCATTGTAGTAGTGGAGGTATGTCTGCAAGTTTTTCATCTGTTATTCTGGCAGGGTTTGGGGTTGCTTTGACTTGGTGTGTCCTAATCTGTAGGGAGGTTGCTTCTCGTGAGCATGACAAGGTTGTGGGGCGTTGTTTGAAGACCAGAAAAGGGAGTTCCAGAAAGAAATCGTTCAGGATGTGGTCCCCATCAAGTATGGGTTATAGTTGTTTGATGATATTTTGTACAGGTTCCAGTGTGGGGTGCTAGGTGACAACTAGGCATGTGCAGTCAGTGAGGTTATTATTTCTGTATTGAAGCAGGTTCTCTCAGGGTATTTGGGTGGCCCATTCCATGATGTGAGCTACTTCTCTGGTGCAGTGTCTTTGTAGTGAAGGAGGTTTGAAGTGTGTTAAGGTGTGTATCCCAGTTTTTTTCTCTCTAAGCATATTCTTGCTTGGGTGTAGATAAAAGATTTTTTTGGCATGTCTGGGTAGCTACTGGATCTGTGAAGTTAAATATGGTGATCCATGGATTTCTTATATATAGTTATCTGTAGGGTTCCATTGATGGAGCTAATCATGATGTCCAGGAAGTTGATGCTGATGGGCAAGTGTTGTAGAGAGAGTTTGATGTATGGGAGGCGGCTGTTGAAGTTGTGGTGGAAATCTATGAGGGAATTTAGCTTGTTTGTCTAGATAATGAAAACGTCATTGATGCATCTCAGGTAGATTATTGATTTCATGGTGCATTTTTCCAGAAATTCTTCCTTGAGGTGGCCCATGAAGAGGGTGACATATTGGGGAGCCATTGTCTGTTCCCATGGTTTGGACAAAGTGTGTGTTATTGAATGTAACGTTGTTATAGAGAATGGAATGGATGAGTTTTGTGATGGGATGGATGTGTGTTTCACCCCCTATTTTTTAGGGTATTTCAGGCAGGCAGGCAGCGATGCCGTCATGATGAGGGCTGTTGGTGTATAGGGAAGTGACATCCATGGTGGTAACTATAGTGTTCTGAGGGAAGCTGTTAAAGTTTCAAAGTTTCTGGAGAAAGTCCATTGAATCTTGGAGGAAACTTGCCTTTTGTATGGTTTGAAGACAGGTTCTAAGAGTCCTGATATTCCTTCAGTAGGAATACCACACCCATATATGATGCATCTGCCTGGGTTTCCTGCTTGTGTATATTGGGAAGCATGTAGGAGTTCCCTGGGGTGGGTTTGTGAGGGGATGAAATTATAGATGGGCATCAGCTCCAGTACAACACCAGCCTTTCCACAACTCAGGCACTCTCCTCAGAACTCTGGTAATCCTATCCTTACCTTAGAGGTTAACATTAGGTGCACCCCAACCTTCAAGCCCCCCTCAAAGAGCATTCCCTTGCAATATCCAGACCCTGTCATTGGATACTTCCAGAAATTATTAAGTCCGCTATCACCAAAGAGACAGTGTACCCATCAGCCTGTTGGCTCAGGAGAGGACACGCACCCCACTTTAATATATTGCACGGAGATTAACCCTTTCCCCTGTGCGATCTCTTTGCTGCAGCAGATACGCTTTGCAGAGAGAGCTGCAAAATCCAGGCACATGTACATGGGGTGTGTGTATGGGGAGGGAGGTGGGAGGAGTACAGCCGTGCCTTGGGACTAGCTAGTTGGCAGTAAGACCTGTCCATGCCCCAGCCCCACTGGCAGGCAGGGCAGGGCGAGGCGAGGGCTCTGCGTGAGACACACCCCCACCTCCTTCTCTCGCAGGCAAATGAGTCCTGAGTAGGGTTGCCAACTCTGACTGAAGCTATTCTGGGAGGTGTCCCTCCCCACATGCTGCAATGTCATTTCCTTAAAATATCCTATTACATCTCCTGGGTTGCGGTCAGTAGTCACTGGGAGTTCGAGGCCAATCCGGGGGGTTGGCAACCCTAGTCCTGAGGAACCGGGCAGCCCCTGGGGACTCTGCCCCGGCCCGCCGGGGAGCGGAAGCTATTAGCAACTACGCCTGCAGAGCGGGAGGGGGCTTAAGCGAGAGGCTCCTGCTCCTGCTCCTGCTCCTGCTCCGGCTCCGGCTCCGGCTCCGGCTCCGGCCCCGGCCCCAGCCAGGGGGCCCCAGCAACCCCCGGAGGCTCCCTCCCGCCCTCTCCTGCCGCAGCCGGGACGGCGGGGCCGCACGCGCCGGAGCCATCCCCACTCACTCACTCACTGTCGTCGTTACAGCCGCCGCAACTTTTCCTTCTCCCCGTCCCAATTTCAAATCCACCCGCCACCTGCGTCACGCTCTCTGCGTCCTACCCAATGCGCGCAGCCGAGCGTCTTACGTCAGGCGACTCTGCCATTGGCTAGGAGCATCGTCTAACAGTGGTGACCTCACGTCCGTTCTCCTCCGGACGGTATTTGTTCTAATAGCTACGGCATTTTAAAAAAATCCCTCGTTAGCATCGGGTTTACTAGCAGTCGTAGCTGTCGTGCTTTAGCGGAAGTTAGGGAACAACCGCCTGACACAGCTGTTTTGTCCGTACAACAAGATGGCTGCGCTCAGTGTGGGCTCTAATCGCTAAGGTGGGAAAAGCTTCTCCTCGAACAACCGGACGTTGCCAGTGTCCGAGAACGAGGGGCCAGTAGGTGGGGCTCCCATAGGCAGGTCACGTGGGGCTTCTCTGGGAGCTGAGCAGGGGTCCCGCGTGCGGCGTTGCTCTCACCCCAGAGGCGCTGCCCGGCCCCGAGCTGCACACGCCCTATCACGGTGCTGCCTAGGTCGCGGGCTAGCGGGGCAAGGCAGAGCCCCGGAACAGGCGCTGCTGGGCGAAACAGGGGCAGGTGGCTGGAGGGCCGAGGTCATATCAACAACCGGGACACAATCTGGGTTTCCGCAGAGCTGGCTGTGATTAGCGCTGCAGCCCAGAACAAGCCCAGCCTGGCCCTTCGAGGTGTGCGGTGACCCGACACCCTCTCTGGGGGCTGCAGGATCAGCCCCCTTCCCTGCCCACCCAGAAAGCTGCAGAAGTCTGGCCAGGCTGTATGTAAATTCGTGGCTCGTTATTTTCAAAGGGAGACTCGCGCTTTCCTGTGTCGGGGGTTATCTAGCACAAACTCTCAGTTTACCTAAACACTGTCAGAGCTGCTAATGGGATAATCATGGAGTAGATAATTGTGGCATGTTATAACAGGCATTTATTATGTATATTATAGAGACGCTTGTGAAATAAGCATACAGTAAGATTTCAGAGTAGCAGCCGTGTTAGTCTGTATCCGCAAAAAGAAGAACAGGAGTACTTGTGGCACCTTAGAGACTAACAAATTTATTAGAGCATAAGCTTTCGTGGACTACAGCCACTGAGAAGTGGGCTGCAGTCCACGAAAG